CAAAAATTTCCTCTGGTAGTTATGTTCTTTTAAACTTTCATTTAACCCCATTGAGAAATCAGCACATATTTTTATTATTTTGGGATTTTAATATTTCTTTTTTTAACGTAACCTATTGGAAGAGTCTATTTTTGAGATCACAACTAATTTTTCTAGTATGTCCAATTCATTATTAATTGGATCTAATGCCGCAAAAGGTATGCTTCTTTTCGGCTTAAATATCAGTGTTACATTCTCTCTTAACTCAAACTTAGCTTTTGCTTTCATGCATGTCCATAGACCTTCTGAGAAAACTTCTGGAAAACTCCTTTTCAGTTCATTTCTCAATTTTTCAGTTACCGTATTAATACCGGACGTAACATTTATCTTGTTGCAAAAAGAGTTAATTGGAAAGTCCCAAAGATCAAATAATGCAATCCAGTCTGTTCCAAACAAATTAACAGTATTCTTTAATACAAACACCACCGCTTTTTTTGGTTTTTCCCACAAAAGAAACATTATAGTTGAATTTACCCAAAAAGTTCCATTTCTTTGCTGAGACTCCATACACAACTTTATCAGAAGTCAATAAACTGAGTTTACTCATTTTTTGCCATGTCTGTTCATTTATTTTAGTGATATCAGATCCTGTATCTAGTTGCAATTTTATTTTTACCTTTTATTAATTTGCACAAAAATTGAGATGTATGGATGTTATGGCTATTAATGCTGGGTTGATTCTTTCACCTGAACATCCAAAACTTGTTGAATTGCCTTCGTCGCTGAAATAAATTGACAAAGAAAAGACGGAAGGATACGGAGACACTAGAGGGACAGTTTAGGACACTGATTTTATTTCCTTCTTTTGGATTCCAACGACCTCTTGTTGGGGAATTTCCTTCCCGAACAGTTGGCACGTGTTCACCAGTCGAAGGTCCAACAGAGAAAGAGACAGATTCTTCTAGTTTATCTTTGGCGCCAGGAAATCTCTCTTTTTTTGCACATGCGTAAATTGCCTTTCCTGTCAGAGGACTCCTGGGAGATTTTAATGTTTATTTTATTTTGTACTTTTATTTAATTTTGTATTTTTATTTTATTTTGTATTTTTATTTTATCCCCACAACCGCCACAGATGTCTTGTTAATTTCCCTTTTAGGCTTCTTATCATTACTCTATGTATTTATCATGTTCACATATGTTTTATTTTTCTCCAATTTTTGTATCTGCAACAAGTAATTTTTATCTCTGCATCCTTATTAGAAGTTAAACTCTGTACAAATATCAGGCATTTAAATAAATCAGGAGTTAATTCATTTAACTTGAACTTCTCACATTCTTGATTCACAACTTCTGCATAAGTGACAAAGACATTGCCAACGTGTATTAAATAATGAAATCCTATCACCAAAAATTGTTGATAGAATTAGAAGTTTCATCTCTCCTGGTTTTTTTTCGGCAAAATATAATTCACATATTTTTCATGTTCTGCAGGGGACAATTTCCTTAATAGTAAACAAACTTTCTTTTCAGCATTCCAGTGCAAACAATCCCTTTTAAAGATCCCTTTTTATCTTCTATAATAAGCTAGAAAAATTATCCCTTTGTCTGGATTGTATACAAATTCGCTGATTGAATTAGCAACAGGATCTGGAGTGAACGAATCTGAATTTTTTTCTTCCGTGGTTTTGGTAAACAACTCAAAAAAACTTCTGTTATTGTAGTTGCAATCGTAATTGCTGTTCGTGTTGTCGTTTTTGTTGCTGCAACTGTTGTTCTTATTGTTGCTTCTGAACCATAATAGCTTTTAGTTCTTCAGTTTTGCTGTACTCTGCTGAATGAATAATCATATAAGCTTGTAATGGGGCTGTAGCTGTTATGTTGTTGATAGAAGTCAGACGTAGAAAAACGCATGTAAGCTTCAGATACTCCTGCCCGCCGGGCCCAACTACATAAAAAGGTTGGACTTTGATTAAGTCCAAAGAAGAAGGCAAAGAAAGCAAACAAAACACAAGACCGATAATATATGTATATACAAATATATATTACAATACATGGAAACAGTACAAAGGACGAAGTGTGTGTGAATATTCTGTATGTGCGTGCGTGTGTGAATATTCTGTATGTGCGTGTGTGTGTGTGTATTGTGCTTAGCGTGTTTCCACGCTATTCCTTTGTTAGCGCCTATATTTCGAGGTTGATAGCTGAAATCCTGAAGGAAAAAGAGATTTACCTCAAGGTGTCGGCGCGCAGGCCTGACGGAAAAAAAGAGATAGAGGCGAAGGGTTCGCGGCTATTTATAGCAGTGAAGAGAGACCCCTGGTGAAAGGGTTAACGGACTGAAGGAGGAGTTAACTCCGACAAGCTCAAGGAATCCTCGCAAATCCTTGCCACCACTTTCGTGATGTCAATGAAAACTCATTGCTTCTTTTTTAATGCCAACAAATACTCGTTGTCACTTTCGTAATGCTTGTTGTAGTAGATACTTTGTAATCACAGATACAACTATAGTACGCCATTGAACAATAGTGGCGTCAGACGCCTTCAAATAATTTCACACTAATAGTACTTGCTCTATAATATTCGCTCAAATAGTAACCACGGTATAGTGATCTGAATAGATAGGTACCTCCACCAGATCGCTAAAAAAAGAGCATAGCATGATGAAAAAGACGCCAAACTTGACGAAAACAAAATTTTATCGCCTAAATGTTTATCTTATTATTAAGAGGAAAGATAAAAGTATTTGGGGGTATTTTTTTTTACATTTTTTAATCGTTCCTAGCACGTCCGAAATTTTCGTTAAAAATCTTGTTTATTGTTTTTGTTTTTTTTTTGTTTGATTTTTTGTCAGCAAAATTGACAGATAATCGATCATGTCAACCATTTTTCCATTTTATAAAAAAAATGAAAATCTCAGTTTGAAATTCTTTTTAAAATCAATTATCATTTTTTCAAAACTTATTTTAAGAAAATCAGAAATTATAATGTTTATTTAAAATATTTTGAACCAAGCTTAACTTAGTTTCTGTGCCGAAAAGATGTAATTTGAAAATAAAACAAAACAGGTCATAAAATTTCGCGTCACTTGACAGGTGATGAATGACATATTGACGGATTACGTGAGGATAATTTGTTCTACGGAAGGAGAAAAGTGAAATTATTTACATTTAAGTGAACAAATTATTTACCTCATTATTTTTAGGGAAAACTTTCCAAGCTCTAATTTTTTTTTTTTTTTTTTGTACTTAGCTTTCACCTTTACGTTTACGATGCTTTATGGAAAATATATTATAAAGAAATTAAAATAAGACCGTTAAAAGTGAAATTAAATTTCATAAGAAAGGTATCTAATTAATTTATAGGTACCTTTCTTATGAAATTTTATCAGAAGTGTACATAAAATACTATAAATTTATGTACATTTACTACATTTTACTGTGTTGTTTGTATTTCCATTCATTTTATTATTAATTTTGATATTTCATTTATGGAAAAATGTCATAACTGAGATTAATATAAAAATAAGATCATATAAATTTCATAAGATGATACTGATACTTGTAGGTACCCTTCTCAGTTGAAATTGAAAAATCAAATTAACTTCTCCACACGTATTTCGCAAAAGTAAAGGCTTTAACAGCGGAGAATAATGCTTAATTCAAATAACACAACTTAATTGTATTCTGGTTGGTTTTCCATACTTTATAATTACAGCCCGATTATAAACACAAAATTACATTTCTTAATTACTGCGGGTATTCTGATTAGTCAAAACGATACAATTTGAAAATAAAAAAAAAGATCTATCTCATAAGGACACTTACGAAAGTGGATGCGGCTTTTAACTAATTTTATAATATTTTAACAACTTAAATGTAAAAAAAAATCTATTATAATTAAAAAATAACAAATAATTGTACTAAAATTTTGCTTTCAGAAAACATTGTCCATATTCATAAAAACAACTGAAAGCAAATAAAAGCATTTGAAATTAAATACTATATTTGTTTTATTGAGTTTTGTATGTTATAATTCAGAGCTGATTTTCAAGTAGGGGTGTCCGATTAAAAACAAAAAAAACATCGAATTTCTAGCGTTTTCATAAAATTAGTTATGGGGGGGGGCATAAATATAAAAAAAATATTTCTGCCATGACTTTAATAAAAAAAAAAAACAACATATAATAATTTCGATCAGCTGTGAATAATTTCTAAAAGTTTCATTAACATCAGACAATTATTTTTATTTTTGCAAGATTTTTCAAATTAATGTGTGTCATACAAAAAAGCGTGCTAAAAATTGTATATGTTATTTTACTAGTTCCGGTGATACAAAGAGAAACGATGATTTTTAAATCAAAATTCGGAATGTTCTAAAAAGAAGGAAAAATTTTTTTAAATAATTAAAATAAACTTTGATCTTTTCTCTTAATAATAACATAAACATTTAGACGATAACATTCTGTTTTCATCAAGTTTGGCATCTTTTTCATCATGCTATGCTCTTTTCTATCGATCTCATGGAGATACCTATGAATAGAGAAATAGTATAGTGATTAGAGGAGAGAATAGTGGTTCATATAGCAATAGAGGATAGAGTAGAAATAGCGATCATTTAGACGTCATGCAACTTCCTCTATGGTCACATGATACACTTAATTCAATAATGGGATTGTCTGTGTTTACTCACTGGTGATTTATGTTCAAACTCAAGTGTTGGCAGCAACACTTTATTCCTATATAACACAAAGAACTGAAGAGATTCTGAAACATGAAGATAATGAATGTACCTATCTTTAATACGTGTTTGAATCAACCTTGCGAAGAAGTTTGAAATTTACATTAAAACTGAAACCATCCAAACTAGAATGCAAAAGTAGACTTTGTCTATTTGATCTCTCGTAAAAATTAACAAATGTGGTTGGCTGGAAAACTGGCTGGAGTACAAATAGAATCAAAATTAGAATATCTACTAATGGGAATATAATGTCAGTAAAACAGATTTTTATTTGTTTATTTTAGAGTACAGGATGCACAAGCATGTTTTCTCTTGGCTGACCGAAGTTCCAAAGATAGGATTGAAGCTGTAAGTAATTTGATGGATAGTTTCATACTGAATTATTTAGAAACTTGAATAAAAATTCCAATGATATTTTTTAAATATTGACAATAATTCTTCTACATGCTAGGACAGATAATGACATTTTTTTCTATCTGAAAACTTTGTAAATTGTAAAAATATGAAAATTTTGATAAAATTGTTTACAACTGATGAACAACAATGTATTAATAAAAGTATAAATTTGTTCAATACAATAATTCAATGCATTTCAATGTTAAAACAATCAGATAAACAACATCATAAGACAAAAATACATCAGCTTAATATTGGGTTGTCAAAAAAATTATTTGGTTTATGAAGTAAAATATAAAATCAATTATTTTCAGTATTAACTTTATTAAACAACATATTTACTCAACTTTCTACCATCTTTCAGGCAACTTCCTGAATATTTTTATTTTTATTGGCAATGTGCCATTTTGTAACCTACAAAAAATTTAAAAGTTTTGTTTTTAATTATAATAATATGGAATAGATAGTAATCTGAAGATGCAATGTCTGATGAATGCCAAATATTGATAAAAACTTCTCAGCTTCACCTGTAATAATTTTGCCTAGTCACCAAAGAAAAAGGTAGTTGCATGAAATATTGTACTTTCTCTTGACTAATTCCAGATGTTTTTGGTCAATTGGAAGCAGTATGTATTTAAATTTGTCATTTGTTTCTCTGGAAACTCTTTCTCAATCCTACCATATGCACCCCATTCACCTTTGGATAAAACCTCCCTTTTATACAGTTAGTAGTGGTTTATTTTGTTTGCTCCACTATGGCATTCCACATTATTGTAAAGTAATTGTCTGTTATCACTTGTTAAAATAACATATTTTAATTATGCAAATTGTATATAAGGCAGTAAGTTTTTACCTTTCAATAATGTGAAAGTCACACACCAAAGACAAGAGAATAACTAAGCTGATGCAAATGTTTTTCACTCCTTGATTTGGATAATTTGAGTATGTTGGTTATCCCCCATATTATTGATTGTTCTCAAGTAATGTCTCCATTTCATCACTATCAACCTCAACTATCTCACCAATCAGCAAGAAAATCTCCAGAATAAAACTTTGCAAACCATCTTTGACACATTCAGTCATTTCCAATACCTTCTCCTTAAATTGAACAAATCTTTCTTTTACTTTTTCTTTTTTTTTTTTTGCATCTGTCACATTTTTACCTTTTTTAAAATAACATGCTTGAAAGGTTGGTATTTTATTCTTTCCTCCATTAATAAACAAAAATAAGTCAGTTTTGATATTTAAAAAAATGTAAACTGATATAACAACTGTCACAAGACAATCTTTTTGAATGAAGTTCATAAAACTAAATGTTCTTAGTGTATCATCCCACAACAAAAACAGCAAACTTTTGGAATAACCTAATAATTCACCAAAGACATGAAAAGAAAGTATATAAAATGATACAGATATGAATAACAATACATTTAAAGCAAACATCAAAATGTATACAAAGTATAAATTAACATTTTTAAGTTGATAATGAACAGAACAATAAACATCCAAAATTAAAATATTTAACAAATCATTTGTTATAAACAAAATGGATTCAACCAAAAATAATAATTTTTAAAATTCAACACAAGATAATATATTCTGTAAATGAGTTTTTTTCTGAAATTCTGAAACGAAATTCAAATTCATATTTTAAAAATGTGTAGAAATATTTTGAAGTTAATAATTTATATCTGATGAGAAACTATATGAACATGGATGGTAATGGTGAAATTAGCTATTTCCTTATAAGGAAACATTCAGAATCCATTGACTGATCAGTTAATATTATTGTCGGTTGAAATTTATAAAATCTTTCTCTTAAAACAGTTTTTCAGGAAAATAGGTTTCACAAATTCACTGTTATTATTCTTTCTAGTATAAATGGATGTTTACTTCCTAACATTTTGTCTATGATGTGCTGAAAGTCAACATCTTGAATATGTCATTATGTTCAAGTATTTGTGGTATTCATTTAGTCGTTACCACTGTTGAAAGTCTTCAAGTGCTGTGGTTTCTGTTATTTGGTAAAATCCTCTGTGAATCTGTATTGCCACACTTAAGTTAATATTTTGTAGCATTTTGCAGTGTTGGACAAACTCTTAGCACAACCTATTCTGTGTTCAATATCTTTATCTCCTATACTAAATTTATTATAACTGATTCATACAGCATTATTTGAAATGTTTAGTATTTATTAATTACACATGGAAATCCTATTTCTTCCTTCGTGATAACGATTTTTCAAAAGAACCAAATTTTTATGGTTTCAAACACTTAAAAACTGCACCATTTATCGAATGATTATATGGTTTTGAAAATGATTTATTATGAATCATTAATTGTATCTGTTTTTATAAATATAAAAATCATTTTCAGAGGCATCTAAACTGTGTTGTAAAGAACATCCATTCATCCAACAAGGTTTTTGTTAAATCCAACAAACTAGCCTAAGTTTACTCCTAAAGATTATAATATTTTAATTAAAAAATTTAACTAAAAATTATAGAAAAGTTGATGATATCATTAATTTAGTTGATAAAATTAATGCAATGAGTAAAACTATATATAACCAACATGCTCAAAATTAGCAACAGAGTTAGCAGACTCTGCACCAAAGAATCCTATGTCCTGATCAAGTATCATAAACCTGATTTTGAGGTTAATCTTCCCACTAGAATTATCAAGCCTACCAGGCCAGAAATTGGGAGGATTGGCAAGGTCATCCTTGATAGAGTCAACCGGCTGATTAGAAGGAATCTTGGACTTTTACAGTGGACTAATACCACAGATGTCATAAATTGATTCAATGATATAAACAATAAAAGAAATTGTTCATTTATCCAATTTGATATCATGGATTTTTACCCATCTATTTTCAATACTTTGGCTTTGGAATTTGCCAGGGAGTACTCAGATCTTTCCAAAGAGGAACTTGATATTATTATGAACTGCAGAAGATCTGTTCTCATCCTCAACAATGAACAGTGGATTAAGAACAATTCTGTTGATCAATTTGATATTTCCATGGGATCATTAGATTCTGCAGTCTTCCGATCTTGTTGGTTTATTTATTTTATGTAATCTTAGTCCCTACAATGATGTTACCATTGATAATATAGGGTTATATAGAGATGATGGCCTTATGTTAATGAAAAATTCTACAAAAATTAATACATAGAGAGTTTTAAAGTCTTAACGTTAAAGTTAAGATCAATACTAATTTAAAAAGTAGATTTCCTTGATGTTACATTAGACCTAGTTGATAATGTATTCCACCCCTACATGAAAACAAATGCCAATCCAATATACATCCAGCTGAATTCTAACCACCCTCCATCCATAACCAAATACATACCCTCTTTTATAGGATTAGCAATAACTCTTCCAGTGAAGATGTCTTTTACAAGCATAGTAAAGTTTACAACATTGCCTTAAAAAATAGTGGCACTGACATCAAATATATAAAGCATAACAACAGTGATTGTAGGAATAGGAATAGATACAAGAAATCATTTCGTACACACCCCCATTTAACGAAATGATCAGTACTAAGTTAGAGCAGAAGTTCCACCATAAACATTTCCCCAGAGATAATCAACTCAGTAAATTTTTTTAAAGAAAAGAAATACACTAAAACTATGCTATAGCTGTATCAATAATCTTGAAAAAATTACTAAAAAGCATAATAATAAAATTTTAAAGCAAAGAAACAAATGCTGATAATACCAACTAGTGTAACTGCAGAAATTCTAATGAATGCCCATTGCAAAACCAATATCAAACTGAGTCTCTTGTTTATCTAAGCACTATTTCTACTGTAGAAAATCCAACAGTTAAAAAAATTTTATATTGGAAGTACCAAGAATTCTTTTAAAATGAGGTGTTATACACATATATTATCTTTCACCAATATAAAAATATGACATCCCTTTCTAAATATTTTTGGAACTTAAAAGAAGTTAACAAAACCCCTACAGTAAAATGGAAAATACTAAAAAAAAGCTAGAACCTGTAAATATTTAAATGAACCTTGCTTCTTATGCTTACATGAGAAACTACAAATTATCTGATTTGCTGACAAAAAATCTGTTAAACTAAAGAAGTGAATTAACTGTAAATTGCTGACACAGTTTATCTTTTACCTTACAATATAGTTAAATTTTAAAAATTAGGTAGTACCATTTCTTATGGCCATAATTTATAAGTAAATAACAGTCCACCCTCTATCTTATTTTGTTTATTTGGATTTAGTATTGCTATGTATTGCCATCCAGTTAATATTATTAATATCTTAAATAGATGTTCCACATTTTTAATCCTATCTACAGGCTTTGAAAAAGAGGTAACATTTTGCTTTTGAAATTTTCTTAAAAATCATTTAATCACTAGTCTCTTACCATCACCTGAAGAGGCACAACATATTGCCAAAACACGAAAGCCATTGTGTAGTGATGTCAACATGCTTTTGTTCTAATCACTTATAATAAAAATAATAATAATAATAATATATATATATATATATATATATACAATTGAAAGAAAATGTTTTGAAAATCCTTGATTACATACAATATTTTTTTCATATCAAATTAACTAATATATTAAATATTTTCAGTAATCTAAATATCTATTTCTTCAGGATCATCATACAATTTTAAGATCTTGGGCTGTTAGAGATTTTGCACCTCATTGCCCCCAGTATCTTCATCTTTTCATGGTAGAAAATCGTATGCACATAAAATATGCAGGTAAGTTTTATAATTAAATATAAAGATTCTTGTATTTTTAATGTAGATAAAGAATCTTTCTTAATAATTTGATGGCCTTTAGTATTACAATTTTAGTATTTATTATATATTTTATTCTAGAAATTATAAGTTAACATAAATGTGATGACATGAGAAAAGAATAGAGGTTTTATAACTGACATATTAAAGCCTGTGTTAAGTGTAAATATTAAATTTTCAGACTGTGTGGTATGTGAAGATGAATTTAAATATGCTTTGTTTGCCAACAACTGTATGTATCCAGGAATGTCAACCTTAGTCACTCTTCTTCTACACACCTCTGAAGTAGAGTAAGTATTTTTTAAATTATTCTTATTTTATTTGTTTTGTCAGTACCATTAAATATAAAGACAAGTATCTTCCAATTTAATCTCAATGTTTGATAGAGTGAAAATTGAAGAGCTTCATTTTCAAACTTATTTCTTCTTGTCATAATGCAAATACTTGAAATATGTCACTGTTTTTAATTGGCTAAAATTAATTTTTATATTATTTCTATACTAGTTAAAAATAACAAAACTTCTTAAAAATTAGAAGAAATTAAAAATATTTTCTCAGTGACTGTTGTCTTCTTCAAATATTGTTCTCCATATTTTTGAAGTGAAATTTTGCAATCATTGTATTTTGTTTCATGTGAACTTGATCATTTTGATCACTGTACCTTCTGGCTTTCCTTGAATGTCTTGAAATAGAGGAAGCATGCACTTTCCTTTCCATTTCCATCACATCCAATGCTGTGACTATGATCTCTTGAAACTACTTTTCCTTACCTGGGGAGAAGTGACTAAGTGACCTCTATGGAATTGAGTTAAAAGCATTAGAAAATAAGAAATTTAAAGGGATCAGCAAACTATCAAAAGTATTATACAGATTTTGAGTTTGAAAAAAGTAACAAAAAATAGCATGCTATCCATATTCACTAAGCTCACTGACTAGTCACAAGTCAGTAGAAGACAGTTTCAAAAGCTCACAAGCACAATTAACACTGTTATGCTAGATATTTATATTGCTTGTTTCACTTTATACATTTCTAATTTTGATCTTAAATAAAACTATAGAACCATTTCAAAGTTTTGCTAAATTGAACTTTACTAGTCCACATTGTCACTTTTACATATAAGTTTTTATAAATTATGCATGTTACTATTCTTAAATATGATGAAAAGAATTCAAACTATTTTGATAGAAAATTCCAACTTTCACCCTAAATTTCTCTTTCAGTTTCAGTAAAAAGGCTCCAGAACGGTGGCAAAAAATTTATGGTCGCCATTCTTGCAATGAAGTTTACCATATTTCTCTACAAGACAGCTTGTTTTTTGGACGATATGAAGGCAAAACTTTTCCAGAAGCCTCAACTGATGCCCATGATAGGTGAAACTAAATTTTTGATATTGAAAACTCTCCCCACATATATATTTTGACCAATATACACACTCATTACATATTAAAAATTTCTCCAATTTCTTCAAAAATTCAAAAGTATTTCAAAATGCAGACACAGAAAAAAAGTTTTACTGCATTACTTAAAAATCTAAAACTAATAATACATACCTTGTAAAACTTCACCAATAAATATGCCACTATATGCAAAGCAGATAGTGTAAACTAAACAAACAAGATAATCAACCTCCCCAAAGGGAAAATAAAATAAGAAACAAATCAAGTAAATAAATAATAAACAAATTAACTGTAAAAATAATCACAAGTAAATTTAATAACAACCAACAGTGAATAATTAATAAATCAATACAAAATACCCTAATTAATCAATAATAATAAGTTAATAATATAAGTTAATATACAATATTTATAAAATAACTGCATTCTAGCCCATAATTATTTCTACTCATTAGCCTTTCAGGACTTGATAGGTTTTGTTCAACAATTGATATGACATTCCTCTTGATTCAGTAACTGCCATAATGATGCTATACAAAAAAAAACAAATCTTTGGTTAGATCTCTAGACAGAGACATCAACTTCTTTGACATCAAAACAGGGGTCTCTACACCTTTTCCCTTTGTTATCCACCCTTGACTACATATTGAGAACTTCTCACAGCAAACATCATCATCTAGGTTTTACTTTATCACCAAGACTCTCAAGTTGATATCCTGCAAAAACGTTTACAGATATTGATTAAACAGATAACCAAGCTATCACTGCAGACACTATTATCAATACCACAGTTCTCCTACATCATCTAGAAAATACTGCCAATGATGTTGGAATCTATGTCAATGCCTCTAAAACTGAATTCATAGGCCTCAACCAGCGAGGCTCAATACAAACTGTCTGAGGTGAATCAATGAAATCTGTTGAATCTTTTACATACCTAAGAAGCAAGATAAATTTTACTGAAAAAAGACATGAAAATCTGTATAGCCTAGGCCACCCTAAATAAAATAGATCTATCTGGAAATCTGATCTACCAGACAACTTCAAGCATAGATTCTTTTGAGCTACTGTAGATGCCACTGCCTGGACATTAACTAAACTCTACAGTCTAAGCTTGATGGAATCTATACTTGGATGCAGAGAGCTATACTTAACACCTTTTCGAGGCAACATCCAACTAAATCACAGCTCTATGGACCCATCCCTGATATTTTTACAATATTACGTGAATACAGAATGTGCTTTGCAGAACACTGCTGGCAAGCAAACAAGAAATCATGTTATGACACAGAATGCCTCCCTAATGACCTTTCAACCTTGATACAGGACTATGATGTTTGGCATGATAGACTCATGAATGTTCAAGCTAGTTGACCAAATAATGATAAAATTTGCCTTTAAAATAATTTAAAATATAGCCACTCCCATCTATCAAATAACCATTAGGATGATACAATAAACTAGAAATAGATGATCTTGCTATCTATATTGATAAACAGATATAGTTAGATAGCCAGCACTGAATACTCACTCAAGTATAAAACAAACTGTAACTGGGTGTTGACCTCAGTACCCACTTTTGAATATATATATATATATATATATATATATATATATATATAATCTGAGATGAGGTATTATGTACACTATTTACATTATTCGGACTATTGTCCTCATCTTTGTTGCCATATTTATTATGTTTCAGCTGTTGTACCTTCCGGCCTTCTTCAGGTGGTTGGAATGTCAAACTGAACCCTTCATTTCGCTCACTGGGGTAGACTGTTCTAGTTCCACGTGCCATGTTTAATGGATGTCAGTTATCAGTTATCTCCTGTTGATTCCCCTCTCCAAGTTCTCCACTGCCTTAACCAGGTATTGATCTCAAACTCTTTGGGTTTTGTCACTGGATCTAACCAACACCTTTGCCATGTGTCCTTGAGGACATATGTGTATGAATTTCTGGGTATTATAAACCTAATGTCTTCAGCAACCATCTTTTACCAGTGCTCATATTGCAATTTTTGCTGTTATCATGCATGTTTTTACCAGAGCTCATATTGCAATTTTTGTTGTTATTGCTTTTCTCTTGCACTCCTTATTACTGGTTCCCATATCATATTCATTTCTATTCTTGATCAGCTTAGGAGATTTTTGTGGCCTAGCATATGTGCTCAAGGACACATGGCACAGTGGATAAAGTTGTTGGTTAGAGAACACATGTTTGAACCCTATCAGAGAGCACATATTCTTTATTAAGTTCTCTTGAGTGTGCATGTCATTAGATGTAATAGACACTGTTAAAAAAAAAATGTATCTATTTTAAACATGACTTTGCACTAAAAGTAATGTTTGAAGTAATATCTAACATGTGTCCATTCAATTAATGACATTCATAATAATTTGATGTCAATGTTTTTTTTTATTTCTTTCAGTTTATGTAACTTTATTTCAAACTTTCTTTTTAATTTATAGATTTGGTGTGTGCCTACTTGCCATTGAGGATACAATAAAACCAGATTCTCGTATTCAACTGAATCCAGGTCCAAATTACATCATGAAAAAAACTGATATATGTTACTATCTCAGTGTCACTAAAGAAGAATTTGCCCAAATAGATTCATCAGCATTTGAAAGAAAATCAACACTTGAAGAAAAATGTGAGATTTACTTTTTTCTCTCATGATTTTACAGAATTATATATTGCTCTTGTAGCCCATTTTTAAAAGTTTAAAACTAATTGCCTACCACCATCCACATTCACAATGATTATCCATAAAATCTTGAGGTATTCAAATTGGAAAATTATACTTATGCATTTCTTCAGGGCATTAAATTAACCAAATATTTTTAATACTGTCCCCTTATTTGACAATTTTAAACAATTTAATTCATAATTAAAACATCACAATTTTATCAGCAAACTAGTCTTGATATCCTTTTATTTCATTTTATTTATTTTACATGATTATAGGCAACTATCCTTGCTGTACATTTAAGTGCATTAAAGTTAGACTTTTTTGAGGTTTACATGTTTTTGCTACTTTCTACAATATATTTCTTTGCACTTTTAAAAGTTAAATGATTCATTTAAGTTGAGAGCATTGTATATAGCTAATAACTCTAAAACTTTAAATGTAGATCCAAATAGGAAACAGATATGGAATAATTGACACAGTAATTGTAATAATTGTGCTTGCAAAAAATGGAATGTCAAAAGGATGGTATTTATCTTGATACCACTATTAATTTATATGATCTCCACTCCCTTGATAATGTTTGTTTTAGAAAGCAATTATTTGAATTTTAATTAAAATCCAAACATATGAAAATGAATTTGTCCTTGAGAATTTAAAGCAAAAATATTAAACAGTATTTATATATTAGATTGTTTATTTACAAGAATAATTGTATATTTACAACATTCTAAAAATGCAAACTAGCTAATACAATGTCATGTTTATCACTTGTCAATTTATAAAGAAATAAATATGAAAACAATTATTTAGTCATAAATTCATAAAAATTTCCTAAATTATAAAAATATATGAACCAGCAATAATGAATTCTTTATTATTTACCATTTTATAAAGTTTGAATTGATTGGCAATTACCTGATGTTTTACAAACTATTCCAAAGACCCGTCCCTGTACTGGCAGTTTCACAGTAGTATGACAGCTCTGACCAGCTTGGACAAGCTATGACGAGCTAAGACCAGCAGCCCGAGTGAAGACACTCAGGTCTCCACATTAAAAACTGATATTGTGTCACAACCTGACTCAGTAAATCAACTGCTCTCTCAAGTACTATACACATTCTGATATTTACCAGACACAGGGATCCATCCCTGTGCCGGTAGTATCACAGCTATGACCAGCTTGGACAAAAAGACCAGCAGCCCGAGTGAAAACACTCAGCTCCCCATGTTAAAAACTGACCTTGTGCCACAACCTGACTCAATGGAGGGTCAAGTAAATCAACCACACTTTGGAGTGGTTTGCAATACATTATTTATCATCTCTCAGTTGTGTCTCTGTCCTTGGGCAGAGTGCATTCAGAGGCAACTCCGTCAAAGGACAGAGTTGCAACTGAGGAAAATTATATTGAGAGGTGTCCAGCCCTGGGGAACAGCTGCCCGAGGCCACGCCCTCTCATTGCACCAGAGAGAGAGATCAGTGCTCACACTGAGGCCAGCACAAACGACGATTGCTGAGGCTGCAGGCAATTTTTGTTCCTTACCCAGGTGTACATACTCGGGTCCCCACCATAAACAAGACCTTGTGTCACAACTTATCTTAGTGGGGAGACAAAGTAAATACCTAGTGTGTAAACCACTCTCTTGAGTGGTTTACACACTGATACTTACCCGGCACAGGGATCCATCACTGTGCTGGTAGTTTCATGGCTATGACTAGCTTGGACTGGCTCTAACCAGCTTGGATCAGCTATGACTAGCTTAGACCAGCTCTGTCCATCTTGGATATGTATGACCAGCTAAGACCAGCAGCTTGGATCAGGTCCCCACATTAAAAACTGACCTTGTGTCACAACCTGACTCAGTGGGGGATCAAGTAAATCTCCACTCACTTGAGTGGTTTGTAACACATTGTAGCAGGGTACCAAATATATAGGTACTACTACTATTTATATTAATGATACTTCCACATACAGGATTCAAGTAATAATAAAAACAACTCCAATTTGTTAACCAACAAATATATATTGAATAAAATACAACAAGCATGAAATAAAATCGTATTCACAATGTAGATTAAAGAGAAGGAAGTTGTTTCCCTTTAACTGTAGATTGATTGTAATCAACTGTTTGAAGAAAGTTCTCTTGTGAGATAAATGTTCCGAAATAATTGTTAGAGCAAAGTTTGCATGTGAAGAATGAATAACATGAAGAAATACAATTGCTTGGTATGTGTTGTGAATAAACTGGTTTGAATCAACAAAGTTCTGGTAAATTGTGCTTGGCGAAAGTTACAGAGAGTAAATGTAAGTTTGAAGTTACAAAATTCTGTGTCTGTGTGCGTGTTGAGCGAGATTGTGGATTTGTGTTAATGGCTGGGATCTTACTGAATCTTACTGGCGACTTGCGAAAAGTTGCCCAATTTAAAGAAAAAAGGTAGGCTCCCATGGAACCACAGGAAAACTTGATCTTACATTAAAAATGTGATTCGTTAAAAATTAACCAATCACTACACTCGTACTAAACAGAATAGGATTTGCTCAGAACCAAAAGATTCAAAGGAACGACTGCGATGGCTAAATTGTCCTATACAAAGGTAGTAGTAATTTATTAGCCAATCACAGGCGAATAAAATGACTTGGAGTGTATGTGGGTATGAAAAACATAGCAATCTCCATATTACCCCCCACAGATTGAAAGAAGGAATGCAAACATTTTTTTAATATGTCCAGTACTGCTTGAATTTGGAAGGTCAGTGGACCCTCCTCCCTCTCTTTGTAACTTGGTGATCTGGTGCTGCAGAAGTCTGCTGAGTGCTACTAGGTGGTGCTGATTATGATGATTATTGGGTTGGAGTAACATTCTGCTCAATGTACGCTGGTTTAAGACAATCGATCAAGATGTTCAATTGACCACCACTGAGCTGAATGGTGAAAAACTTGGTATGATCAGAGAGAACTCAAAATGGACCTGAGTAGCTCGGTGTCAGTGGCTTCTTGGTGGTGTCTTGTCTTACGAAAACAAAATTACAATTATTCAAAGAAGAAGGAACATAGATGTCCTTGGTCTGAAAATGAGTAGGAGTAAATGACAAGATGGACATCCTACTCTGAAGGTACTGAATGAAAGTTAAAGAAGGCTCTAAAGTTTGAATTCCCACTCAGAAATTGCCCTGGCAACACTAATGGTTTGACAAATGTAAGATCTGTGGGTAAACATTGCAAATCCTCCTTTAATAGAGAATGAGGTGATAGTATAACTAATGGTAAGTTATCCATCCAGGATTGGTTGTTGTCGCTGTTGGAGCTAGTTAGTGCAGCCTTTAATTGTCGGTGGAAGCATTCAACGAGGCCGTTAGCAAAGGGGTGATATGCCGTTGTTGAAATGTGCTTCGCTCCAAGAAGATTTACAAATTTCTTAAACAGCATTGATTGAAATTGAGGACCGCGGTCTGTCGTTATCAATGATGGGCATCCAAAGATAGAAATCCATTCTTTCAATATCGCCTTAGCGACAGACTCTGCAGTTGTAGATTGAAGTGGGATGGCAACAGGCCATCATGTAAATCTATCAATCACTTTAAGAATATATTGGTATCCGTGTACTTTGGGTAACGGACCCACTAAATCAGTGTGCAGATGACGAAAATGACCGTCAGGTACAGTGAAATTCCCTGGTAGGGATTTGATATGACAATGTATTTTAGTTGGCTGACAAATGAGGCAACACTGAGTCCAGTGCCTGATATCAACGTTCATGTTTGGCCAGACAAAACGTTCACAAATAAGTTTTATCGTTATTTTCCGTCCAGGGTGTGATAATGAATGGAAGTGGTCAAAAATTTGTCTTCTCATACCAAGAGGTGTCTGGGATGAGAAGTGCTGACGTCACAAGCGATTGACTTATTACTGAAGGGCATGGGACGTTGCTCAATTTTTAATGATGAATTTTTTTTTGAGTCTATCAAAATAGTGTCCCTTTGTTGCTTGTTGGCAATATTTTTGAGATCAAGTTTCTCCTTACTAGTATTGAGTAAGAATGCTCTTGATAGGGTGTCGCCGATGGTGTCATCGTTTCCTTTAATGTAATGTATGTCAGTTGTAAAGTGCGAAATAAAATCTAGTTGTCTGTAGTCACAGGGATTATACTTGTCTGATTTAGTATGAAGGGCATAAACTAAAGGTTTATGGTCAGTAAATACCGTGAAGTCTTGACTTTCTAAAATGTGTCAAAAATGTTTGATTGAAATGTAAATTGCTAATAACTCCCTTGAGAAAGTGCTGTATTTTTTTTTTTGAGTTGTCATAAGTTTAACAAAGAAAAATGAAATTGGTGTAGTCTCTTTCTCTGTGTGTTGGTGTAATACAGCTCCTATGTCTTCTGATGATACATCAGTCATGAGTGAAAGATGTGTTGTTCCGTCGTCACATAAATAGTTGAGTTTAGTGTAATTAGCTAATGAATTTCTTGAATTGGTAAAAGCAGCAAGAGCTTCATCCAACAGAGTTATCTTTGCATTTCATGTTCCCTGGCCATGAAGTAAGTTGGTGAGAGGTCCCAGGATGTGGGAACAGTTAGGGATGAATTGGCGATAGTAGTTTATCAAACCTAAATAACGTCAAATTTGTCAAAGCGTACTTGGTTGTGAAAACTCTTGTATAGCTTTGGTTTTATCTGTGACAGGTGTGATGCCGGTACCATGAATTTCATGTCCAAGGAAATTTAGTTTAGGCACGGCAAACACACATTTGTCTAGGTTGATTTTCAAGCCAAAATGTTCTAGACGCTGAAAAACTTGCATGACGTGAAGCACGTGTTCATCCATGTTGGCACTTGCTACTAGTAGATCATCAATGTAGGCAAATGAATGCGACAAACCATGCAGTGCTTCGTTGATCAAACATTGAAACGATTGTGCTGTGTTTCAAAGCCCAAAAGGCATTTGAAGGAATTCATACAGACCA